GCTGCCCAAGACTCCAGAGTCCCCCAGTTCCCTGGGCAGGATTCTTACAGCCCCCCAAAATCCTCCCTTGGGAGTGGGAGACACCCTCCAAATCCCATTTCTCCCCATCCCAAGGACAGGGAGAGCTGGGAGCTGGTTCCAGGAGGGATCTGAACCTGGATCCATCTCCTTTTCCAGGAATCCCAAATCCCATTTCTCCCTATTCAGGAGGGATCTGCAACTGGCTCCATCACCTTTCCTGGAAATCTCAAATGTCATTTCTGGGATAGCTGGGATAGCTGAGAGCAGTTTCTGGGAGGGATCTGAACCTGAATCCATCCCCTTTCCTGGAAATCTCAAATCCCATTTCTGGGACAGCTGGGAGCAGGTTCTGGGAGGGATCTGGACCTGAATCCATCTGCATTCCCAGGAATCCCAGTCCCATTTCTCCCCAGAACAGGGACAGCTGGAAGCAGTTTCTAGGAGGGACTTGAACCTGGATCCATCCCCTTTTCCTCGAATCCCAAATCCCATTTCTGGGATAGTTGGGAGCAGTTTCTGGGAGGGATCTGAACCTGAATCCATCCCCTTTTACCCAAATCCCAAATCCCATTTCTCCCTGTTCAGGAGGGATCTGCACCTGCCTCCATCCCCTTTCCTGGAAATCTCAAATCCCATTTCTGGGATAGCTGGGAGCAGTTTCTAGGAGGGACTTGAACCTGGATCCATCCCCTTTCCTGGAAATCCCAAATCCCATTTCTCCCTGTTCCAGGAGGGATCTGGACCTGCCTCCATGCCTTTTCCAGGAGTTCCAAATCCCATTTCTGGGGTAGCTGGGAGCAGTTTCTGGGAGGGATCTGCACCTGCCTCCATCCCTTTTCCAGGAATCCCAAATCTCATTTCTGGGATAGCTGGGACAGCTGAGAGCAGTTTCTGGGAGGGATCTGGACCTGGCTCCATCCCCTTTTCCAGAAATCCCAAATCCCATTTCTCCCAAGGACAGGGACAGCTGGGAGCAGGTTCCAGGAGGGATCTGGACCTGCCTCCATCCCTTTTCCAGGAATTCCAAATCCCATTTCTGGGGTAGCTGGGAGCAGTTTCTGGGAGGGATCTGCACCTGCCTCCATCCCTTTTCCAGGAATCCCAAACCCCAATTCCCTCCCTGTCCCCAGGTTGACCTTCAAGCTGTGTCACCTCTACTGGAACTGGCCGGGCACCGTGCGTGTCCCTGCCCCCTGCAAATACGCCCACAAGTTGGCATTCCTGGTGGGCCAGGTCCTGCACCACGAGCCCAGCGCCCACCTCTGCGAGCAGCTCTTCTTCCTTTAACCTGCCAGGACCCAGGAACCCGGGATTGGCACCGGGAAATCCGGGATTGCACCAGGAAAAATGGGATTGCGCCTGGAATTCCTGCTGCTGTTTGTACCCCCCTGCCAAGGGGGAGCTTCCTCAATTCCCTGTTCTGGTGTTAATTTATTCTTTGTTTGTTTGCAGCAGCATCCCAGCGCTGTGGGGTTTTATTTTTGGGAATTATCCCCACGGGGATGACCCCCAAAGGAATATCCTGCTGGTTTCCAGCCCTCCCAGTAAATTGGGTTGAGTTAATGAGCCCCAAAAGTGCTGCTGCTCCCACAGCTCCTCCCTATGCAGGTGCTGGATGTAAATCCCAAAAATTTCAGGGTTTTCCCCCCTCCCAGTTTCTTGCATTTCCATGCAGGTTTAAAGTTTGGTTTTTTTTTTTTTTCCTGGGCTTTTCCAAGCTGCTGTTGAACAAACCAAAGCTCCAGTTTGGCCGGTTCTCCCGTCCTTGAGGAGTCACTGGTTTTCCAAGGAGAATTCTTTGTGCATTCAGGTGGTTACCCCAGGGAAAGGTTGGAGTTTTCACCTATTTTAGGTGCTTTTTTTCAAGTTGCAATCCCCTCCTTTTCCTCTTCCCTCTAACCAGTTTTTTTGGTTCTTTCCAATAAAATCGTTGCTGGCAGCTGCTCCCTGGTGGATTTTTTGGGGGGGTGCTGGTGGCCACATCCTGCCCCTCATTTTTGGGGGATCCCAGGATGGAGCAGGGACACTCAGGAGGGGTCACAGCAGCGGTGCCACCAGGGCTGTCACCTTGTGCCCTAAGTTAATCATTCATCCCTGTTTATTTGCCAATCCCCGCGGACTTTGGCAGCGTGGCCCAGCCTGGGGTGGGATTTAGGAACAAATCTTGGCCCTTTGGGGTGCTGGGCTGGGATTTTGGGGGTTCCCCCCAGCTCTGACCCCATCCAGCAGCATTTTCTATCCCAGCTCTGCCTTTTCCTTGCACAGGGAGAGGAGCCAGGGTGGCTCTGCCTGCTTGGATTTGTCCCCCCTGGATTTTTTTGGGGGTCCCCAGCCCCACCCCAGGGGATTTTTGGTGCTGTGACCCCTCGGGAAGGGGTTGAGGGGGGTCCCAAGGGGTGTTTGGAGGGTCCTTGGGGTGCCCTGTACCCCTAAAGGGTGTTTGAGGCCCCCCTAGGGGGGTGGTGGGGGATCTGTGGGGTCCCTTGGGGTCTTGGTGCCCTCAGGGTGGGGGTCCATGGGGTCCCAGTACCCCCAGATGGGTTTTTGGGGGGTCCCAGAGCTCCTGGGGTGTGTTTGGGGGTCCCAGTGCCCCAGAGAGGGGGGTTGGAGCAGCTTGGGGAGCTTGGGTGGGATTTTTGGGGTTCCCAGATGGGGTTTTGGAGTTCCCGGGTAGGAGTTTTTTTAGGGTGTTGTGGGTGGGATTTTTGGGGATCTTGGGTGAGATTTTTGGGAGTTCCTGGATGAGATTTTTGAGATCCTGGGTGAGATTTTTGGGGGGTCCCGGGTGGGATTTTTTAAGGAGTCTCGGATGGGGTTTTGGGGTTCCTGAGTGGGATTATTTTTAGAGGGTCCTGGGTGGGATTTTTTAGGGGTTCTGGGTGAGATTTTTGGGGGTTCCTGGGTGGGATTTTTTAGCGGTCCTGGGTGAGATTTTTGGGGATTCCCGAGTGGGATTTTTTAGGGGGTTCTGGGAGAAAATTTTGGGGATCCTGGGTGAGGTTTTTGGGAGTTCCCGTGTGGCATTTTTGGGGTCCCAGGTGAGGTTCCTGGGGGTTCCCGGGTGGGATTTTTTAGCGGTCCTGTGTGAGATTTGTGGAGGTTCCTGGGTGGGATTTTTTAGGGGGTTCTGGGTGAAAACTTTGGGGATCCTGCGCAGTCCTACCCAGAATCCCCCAAGATTTTTGGGGGTTCTGGGTAGGACTTTTTAGGGGGTCCTGAGTGAGATTTTTGTGAGTTCCCGGGTAGGATTTTTGGTGTCCCGGATGAGATTTTTGGGGTTCTGGGTGAGATTTTTGGAAGGTCCCGGGTCAGATTTTTGGGGTCTCGTGTGGGGTTTTTGGGGGTCCCGAGTGAGGTTTTTGGGTTCCCGGGTGGGATTTTTGAGGGGTTCCGGGCGGGATTTTTGGGGTCCTGGGTTAGATTTTTGGAGGGTCTCGGGTGAGATTTTTGGTGTCCTGGGTGAGGTTTTTGGGGTCCCGTGTGGGATTTTTGGGTTCCCCAGTGAGATTTTGGGTTGTCCTGGGTGAGATTTTTGGGTTCCCGGGCGGGATTTTTTGGGGCCCTGGGTGAGGTTTTTGGGAATTTTTGGGGGTTCCCAGGTGAGATTTTTGGGTTCTGAGTGAGGTTTTTGGGAGGTCCTGGGTTAGGTTTTTGGGGTCCCATGTGGGATTTTTGGGGGTCCCATGTGGGATTTTGGGTTCCCGGGTGAGATTTTTGGGTTCCCCGGTGGAATTTTTGGGGGTCTCGTGTGGGATTTTTGGGGTTCTGGGTGAGATTTTTGGGGTCCTGTGTGGGATTTTTGGGGGTCCCGGCGCTGCGCCGCTGAGGGAGCGGGGCCTCAGGCGGAGGGGGCGTGGCCAGGGGCGGTGGCAGCCAATGGGAGCGCTCCCCGTGCCGGCGGCCGCGCATGCGTGCTGCGCGGCCCCGAGCGGCGGCGGCGGGAGCGGGAGCGGAGGTAGGACCGGGATGGACCGGGACAGGCACGGGACAGGCACGGCAGCCCTGCCGTGCGACGGGGAACCGGCTGCGGGGACGGGCCCCGCGGGGAGGGAGGCAGCGGAGCGGGGGGAGCGGGCTGGGGCCGGCCCCGAGCCCCGGATGGGGATGGGGGATGCAGGGAGGGATGAAGGATGCAGGGAGCGGCTGTTTAGGGTTTGGGGCCGGTCCTTGGGGCAGCCATGGGAGCTCGTTTTGGGGCAGCCCGTGCGGTCTGGAGCAGGGGAAGGTGCAGGTGGAGGTGGGGTCAGAGGCGCAGGACCCTGTTATGGGGTGCAGGACTCAATTTTGGGGTGCAGGGCCCAGTTATGGGGTCTGGCACCACCAGTGGAAGCTCTGGGACCAGACAGCGGCGGTGGGATGGGGAGAGCGGTGGGATGGGGCAGGGAGCGGGCGGCAGCAGCAGCTCCGGCCCGGGGGGCACTGGGCAGGACCGGGGGGTCCCTGTGGGGTGCGATGCCCGGGGGTGTCCCTGTCCCGCTGCCCCTCTGCCCGCCCGGCGCTGCGGTCACGGGCAAGGAAAGGACAGGGCTGCGTGCGGAGGCTCCAGAGTGTCGGTGACCCAGGAACGGGTCCGCTGCCAGCCCCGGGACAGCCGCAGGGCACGGAAAACCTCCGGAGCCCTCCGTGCCGCAGGACACGTGGAGCGCGGCTGCCCCGGAAGGCCCCGCGGGCTCCGAGCGCCGGCAGCACCGGGACGGCTCCGGGGCTGGAACTCGGGGTCCCGCTGGCCCTGTCCCCGCATGGTTTGCGGCAATCCCTGCGCAGATTTCGGGGCTGACGTCGGCGGGGTCATGCTCGGCCGTGCCAGCGGTTCCCGTTGCCGGCGTCACCCTGGGGGATGCGCGGATTGCGGCCGGCACCGCTGAGCTCCGGGCAGATGGGATGGGATGGGATGGGATGGGATGGGATGGGATGGGATGGGATGGGATGGGATGGGAAGGGAAGGGTTTGCCCGGCCTCGGGAGCTGCGTGCTGCTGTCGTGGCATCGCTCCCGGGCACATCCCTCCCGGGCAGCCGTCCCTCGGCGTGGCAGCGCTCTGCCCGTGCCCCAGCCCGATAAATAAAATAGGTCAGGCGCTGGCTCCGTGCTCCGGGAGCGCATCCCGGTGCGAGAACGCCCTTGAAGGTAGCGGGCGGGAGGCCGGGGGGCTCCGCGGGGGTCGCAGCAGGCGGTGGGGATGACGAGGCTCGCTGTTCTTTGAGTTTGTCCCGGGATGCTGGGCTGGGTGTGCTGCTTTGCCCCGGGATTGCAGCAGGTCGGAGCCCCTCGGGATGTGCCTCTTTGGGCGCTTCTCTTCCTCAGGGGCGGCTCCTCCACCTCGTTTTGCCCTAAAACGGAGCGAGCCTGTGCAGCCTGTGGCCGGCTCTGCCCTTCCTGCCTTTCCTTTGGCAGCGAGGGGAAAGTTGAGGTCCGGTTTTCCAGCCTGGATGTATCCGGCTGAGCCCGGCTTCGGGAGAAACCCCCGGGAGGGGTTTTGGCAGCGGGGAGAGCTGCGTGCCTTGGCACTCGGTGTGCTCCATGGGTGTGCAGGGAGCGGGAGGGCTCCCGGTGGCACCGGGGATTTGGGGAGCACCCGGCTGGAAAGGGCAGCCAGCGGGACAAACCTTTGGCACGTTGGGCTGTGTGCCAGCACCTGTGGGTGTCACCGGCAGCCTGGATGTCCCACGGAGCCCACCTGGAAAGGTGGATTGGGATAGGGAGGAAGAGGAAGGGTCTGGGCTCGCTGGGTCCCTCAGGTCTCCCCACCCAGCAGGGTGTTCCCAGCACGGCTCTGGATGGGCTCCCTCCCTCGCTTTGGGAGGAGAGGGGTTAAGTCAAAGCATCCGAGCTAAGCCCTGGCAGGAGAAGGCTAAAAGCTCACAAAGTGGTGGTAAGCTGGTAAAACCTGTGGGAATGTGGGAGCCTTCAGGGGCACTGGGGTCCTGCATGGGGAGCGGGGTCCTGCGAGATCCGTGCAGCCCCTCGGCGTGGCAATCCTGGCCTCACGTTATTTTTGGAACAATTGCTTGGCCGGGCCTCAAAAATGTCCTGGTTTTTGGAAGAGCCTGGAGCCTGCGAGCTGTCAGCACTGTGGGGTGTCCAGGGCTGGGTTGGGAGCCCCTCCAGGGGCATCAGGAGGTGCACCTGGAGCCCCACCTTGGGACTGGGATGGCTGCTGCATTTTTATTTTCTCCTAAATTTGCTATCCACCTTTCAGGGGAGCTTTCCCATGAAGGCAGCCTGAGCTCCAGGCCCCTGGGAGCCTCCCAAGGTGGACGTGCAGGTCGTGCCTGCGTCCCCTCCTCTCCCTGCGCCCCTTCCTTTGCACCCCAGGGCTGTGCCACCCCTCTTTTATCAATTCCCGGCACAAATGAAAGGGACAGAGAGGGCAAGGATTGATTCTGGGCAAACACTATAAAGGCGCCTACAGTTAGAGCGGGGAAGCTCACTCGGTTCATGGTAATTATCCTGGTTAAATTATAACCTCATCAACAGGCCACCTCTGTCCCCGGGGCTGCCGTGTCCCTCCGAGCGCTGGCATTGCGGCGTTGGTGACACCGAGGGGACCCACGCGTGGCCAGGCCTGGAGGGTGACTCCTCACCCCCCTCCAGAGCTGGCACAGCTGGGTGTTGGCACAGCCCTGCCCGCTTCCCAACCATCCTGCTCTTCCCAGGGTGCCCGAGGCGCTGCGGAGCTGGAGAGCCCCCAGGAGCCGTGTGCTGGCAGCCCCCCAGGGTGAGTGAGGGGCTTGGGGTGGCTCGGGGTGGAGGAGGAGGAGGAGGGGGTGGATTTGCATGGAAAGATTGTGGAAAAATGCTGAATCCTCCGTAGGATCCGGGTGTTTGCAGTGCCATTCCCCCTTTCCTTGAGGATAAATCCATCGGTGGGGTGGAGCGGCCGCGGTTGGAGCGCTGGGAATGCCAAAGCCAACAGCAGCGTGGTTTCTCTCCCAGCATCCCAGAGGCACCATGATCCCCAGCGTGGGCCCCCGGAGCTGCTGCCTGCTCCTGCTGCTCTGCCTCCTCCCCTGCCCGCAGGTCCGGGCGGGCAGGGACGGCCCCGGCGTCTCGGCCGCCTCCTTCCTGCAGGATCTGCTCCAGCGCTACGGGGAGAGCCAGACCTTGAGCCTGAAGCAGCTCAAGGCCCTGCTGAACCGCCTGGATGTGGGAGTGGGACACGCCAATGTCTCCCAAACACCTCAGCAGCGCCTCAACCTCTCCCGTGTAAGGAGGGGACCCCCAAAACCTCCCCCAAAACTTCCCTGTGGAGCTGTGGGGATCTCAAGGCTCATTTCTGTGCCTTCCCTCCCCCAGTGCTTCAGCTCTGTGGAGCTCTTTGCCATCCACAACCTGAGCGAGGGCTCCCCTGTGGGGCACAGCGAGTTCAAGGAGTTCTGCCCCACCATCCTGCAGCAGCTGGAGTCGGGGGCATGCGCCTCCGAAAACCTGGAAAATGAGGAGAATGAGCAGACAGAGGAGAGCAGGCCCAGCTCAGCTGAAGGTAATTGGGGTGCTGGGGGCGGGGGCTACAGGCACTGCCTGGTTCTGGAGTTTGGGGACATGAGGAACAGCCAGCTCCCACTCCTGGGAGTTCCTCCTGCAGCAGCTGGCAGTCCTGACCGAGTTCTCCTCGCTGTGGATGGTGCTGTGGTGTGGTTTCTGGGATAACCTCTGTGCCTCCAGGATAGCTGGATGAGGAGGGGACTCTGCTGTGGGTTCCCTGAGTGGGAGGGGGTGACCTGGAGGGACCTGCTGGCCTCCAGCTGCCGGTGGATGCTCAGCCAGCTCCCACCCACCCCTGTGCCAACGCTGCCCAAGGTCTCGGATCAGCGTCCCTGAGCACAGCTCAGCTTCTCCCACGCTGGGGCTGGCTGGGCAAAACCTCTTCTGAGGAACCCCTGGCTTCATTCCCACCTTCCCTGCACCAACCACGATGGTTTTGTCGCAGCTGGAGCACCCGGAGCAGCCCCGGAGCCTTTCCCACCCACCCGGGTCCGGGCTCTCCGAGAGCCTCGGTAATGTCTGGCCCTCGTTTCTTCTCGTTCCGCAGTGTGGGGCTTTGGTTTTCTCAGTGTGTCCATGATTAACGTGGCCTCCCTGCTCGGAGTCCTCATCGTGCCGTGCTCCCAGAAGGCCTTTTTCAGCCGGGTGCTGCTGTTTTTCATCGCGCTCTCCATCGGCACGCTGCTCTCTAACGCGCTCTTCCAGCTCATCCCAGAGGTGCGGTAGAACGTCCCTGCCTCTCTCCCGTCTCCGGGGGCGGCTCCTCTCTGCCTCCACCCCGCCGAATCGATCCGACCCCTCGTCACCCGAGGCTCAGGGCTTGGCTCAAGGGGCTGCACAGGGCTTTTCTCACCCCTCTGAGCACCAGGAAACCCTCAGTGTCCTCCATGCCACGGCTGAGGAGCGGGAATGTGCTGGGAGAAGCTGTTTGCTCCTGCTTTGGGCGTCCACGAGTTCATCTGTGCTCAGCCACATTTCTGGCATGAGCCAGAGGGAAAAAAATGTCCATGAAAATATGATCAAATATCCATATAAAAGCACAGAGAACAGCCTGGCTTCCTCTGGAATCAGCCAACTTTTACAAATCCTTTAATTGCCTTTTTTTTTTCCCCCTTACCTGATTTCCCAGCCTGATGTTCCCACAAGGGTTCTGCCTTCCATGAGGTATCCTGGTGCTCTGATGGGACCGACAGAAATATCGCAGATTAATTGTGTTGTAATTGCGCAGTTCTGGAGCTGAATAAATCCACCCGGATTGGAAACCTTTGAACGTGCTCCAGGTGCCTCCTCAGAGCATGAGCTGGATTTGGCACATCCAACCTTAAAATCCTTAAAATTCCAGCGGGTTTTTCCCCCTGGCGTTGCCCGTTTGCTGCTGGGCAGTGAATACTTCATCTGTACAGGCAGTGGGATGTTTTTCCAAGCTTTTCAGCTCCAGAACTGCAACTTTTATTTGCTGGACATAAAAACCAAGCGCCTCTAATTCCTGATCTGCCAGGAATTGAAATGCCAGAGGTACCCTCCAGCTCTGCCAGCACCCGGAGCGCCGTGGCTGCAGGACGGGGCTGGAGTGTACACGGTGCTGGGGGGACCTGACACTCTGTGGCTTGGGAATGGCTCATGGAGCACAGCTGGGGGCTGGCTGGGACATGGCCTGGCTGGAAAACTCAGCTGAGATTCCCAAAGCCGCCGAGCGCCGGGTTCGCCCTGTGGAGGTGGCGCCAGATGAACAACAATCACTAATGAATGTCCTCTTCTCTCCCTCCCTCCTCTCTCTGTGCTGTCGCTGTGGATTCCTCCCCTGCCCATAACCCCACGTTGATCTCATCCCTTCCCATCTCCCATCTCCTGGGGTGGGTTTGGCTCTGCCAGTGTGGGGTTACGGTTTCCTCTGCGTCTCCGTCATCTCCCTGTGCTCGCTGGTGGGAGCCAGCGTGGTGCCCTTCATGAAGAAGACATTTTACAAGCGGCTGCTCCTCTACTTCATAGCTCTGGCGATTGGAACTCTCTACTCCAACGCCCTCTTCCAGCTCATTCCCGAGGTAGGGAGAGGACTGGCGGGTCTGTGCTTTTCTCTCTCTCTCTCTGGGGCTGTTTCTGTCTCTCTCTGGCTGGACAAGGGGAAGGCGGCGTCGGAGGGGAGCCCAGAGCGAGGTATGGAGGGCTGGAAGCCCCTCGGAGCTGGAGTTTGGAAGGGAATGGCTCCAGGGAGATCCCTGGTTTGTTTTGTTGCCTTTTCTGGCTTTTTCTAGCCCTGGAGGTAGGTCCCCAAGTGGTTTTGGCAGGTGCTGGATCCAATGCCTCAGGGAGGGAGTGAGGGAGATGAAAGGTGTTTCCTGAGCTTGTCCCCAAAGCAGCTGCTCCTCAGAGGGAGCTCAGAGCTGTGTCACCCCTCCAGAGTCACCCCAGGGGCAAAGGCAGATGAAGGGCACTGCCAGGGCCTGCTCCTCATCCTCTCCTGGGTCCCCTCCTGCCTGCAGGCGTTTGGATTCAACCCTCAGGAAGATTATTACGTCTCCAAATCCGCTGTGGTGTTCGGCGGATTCTACCTCTTCTTCTTCACTGAGAAGATCCTGAAGATGCTCCTGAAGCAGAAGGACCAGGTGAGGTGGAGCAGGGGATGGTGGGGTGGGAAACAGCGGGAATTTTGGGATGGAGGGGTGGGAACAGCAGGAATTTTGGGATGGAGGGGTGGGAACAGCAGGAATTTTGGGATGGTGGGATGGGAACAGCAGGGAAATTGGGATGGTGGGGTGGGAAACCACAGGGATAACAGGATGGCTGGGCTGGAAAGAGCAGGGGATGGTGGGGTGAGAAACAGCAGGAATTTTGGGATGGAAGGGTGGGAAACCAAGGGGTAATGGGATGGCTGGGTTGGAAAGAGCAGGGATAATGGGATGGACGGGTGGGAAACAGCAGGAATTTTGGGATGGTGGCATGGGAACAGCAGGGAAATTGGGATGGTGGTGTTGGGATGGTGGGGTGGGAAACAACAAGGATATTGGGATGGAAGGGTGTGAAACAGCAAGAATTTTGTGATGAAAGGGTGTGAAACAGCAGGAATTTCAGGATGGTGGGGTGGGAAACAGCAGAGATATTGGGATAGTGGGGTGGGAAACATCAGGGATAACGGGATGGCTGAGTTGGAAAAAGCAGGGATAATGGGATGGTGGGGTGGAAACAGCAGGAATTTTGGGATACTGAGGTGGGAAACATCAGGGATAATGGGATGGCTGGGTTGGAAACAGCAGGAATTTTCGGATGGAGGGGTGGGAAACAGCAGGAATTTTGGGATGGTGGGGTGGAAAATAGCAGGAATTTTGAGATGGTGGGGTGGGAAACAACAGGAATATTGAGATGGCAGGGTGGGAAAGAGCAGGAATTTCAGGGCAGTGGGGCAGGAAAGAGCAGGAATATCAGCATGGCAGGGTGGGAAAGAGCAGGGATATCAGGATGAGTGACAGCCCTGATCCCACAGCACCACCACGGGCACAGCCACTACGGCCCCGAGGCTCTGCCCTCCAAGAAGGACCGGGAGGAGGGGGTCACAGAAAAGCTGCAGAATGGGGACCTGGACCACATGATCCCCCACATCACCAGTGACCTGGAGTGCAAGCCCCCCTCGGGGGATGAGAAGGCTGTGGTGGGCTCCCTCTCTGTCCAGGTGAGCCCCTCATGCCGTGGCATTGTGAACAAATCAGTTAAAACCAGCTCTGCAGCCCAAATTCTCTGTGTGTGGTGGGACCTGTGACGGTGCTCACAGGAGTCTGAGGATGAGGGAAGAGATGAGGATCTGACTCCATGTTTCAGAAGGCTTGATTTATTATTTTATTATATATATTACATTGAAACTATACTAAAAGAATAGAAGAAAGGATTTCATCAGAAGGCTGGCTAAGAATAGAATAGGAAGGAATGATAACAAAGATTTGTGGCTCGGACAGAAAGTCAGAGGCAGCTGGGCTGTGATTGGGCATTAATTAGAAACAAGCACATGAGACCAATCACAGATGCACCTGTTGCATCCCACAGCAGCAGATAACCATTGTTTACATTTTGTTCCCGAGGCCTCTCAGCTTCTCAGGAGGAAAAATCCTAAGGAAAGGATTTTTCATAAAAGATGTCTACGACAGGACCAAACAGCTCCGCTGTGCCGGTTTAATGATTAATGGGGTGGTTTTCCCATCTGGAGGAGGGATCAGTGACCCCATTTGGGTGCTGATCCCCATTTTGGGGTGCTGGGGCAGGACCTGCAGGCCTCCCAGAGCGCGTGCTACTGGCTGAAGGAGGTCAGGTACTCGGACATTGGCACTCTGGCCTGGATGATCACGCTCAGTGACGGCCTCCACAACTTCATCGACGGCCTGGCCATCGGCGCCTCCTTCACCGTGTCTGTTTTCCAAGGGATCAGCACCTCCGTGGCCATCCTGTGTGAGGAGTTCCCACACGAGCTGGGTATGTGACTCCTCGGGGCTGCCCCTGCTCCTGCTCCCTCTGGAGTCTGTCCTTTGTCCATCCAGAAAGGCAGATTTGGGGTGGAATAAACAGTGATGCTGCTGAGAGGGGGGAGAGGGAGGGCTGGAAACCGCTCTGAGTAATCGCCGCTCTAAAAATAACGAGGTAATATGATGTCTGAGATTTAAATTTAGATGGAGGCATCTGAAGACAAAAAAAAAAAAAAAAAAACCTCAACACCTCGTTGGTTTGGGAGGGGGGAGGCGGGTTTGGGTGGGAATGTCTGAATTTGGAGAGGTCAGAGGGGGATTTGGGTGGGAGTGTCTGAATTTGGAGTGGTCAGTGGAGGGAAGGAAGGTTTGGGTGAGAATGTCTGAATTTGGAGTGATCAGGAGGGGGGTTTGGGTGGGAATGTCTGAATTTGGAGAGGTCAGTGGGGGATTTGGGTGGGAGTGTCTGAATTTGGAGAGGTCATTGCAGGGTAGACGGGTTTGGGTGGGAATGTCTGAATTTGGAGAGGTCAGTGCAGAGGAAGGGGGTTTGGGTGGGAATGTCTGAATTTGGAGTGGTCAGAGGGGGATTTGGGTGGGAATGTCTGAATTTGGAGTGGTCAGTGCAGGGGAGGCAGGTTTGGATGTGAGTGTGTGGGTTTAGAGACAGAGCTGTGGTCAGTGAGTGGGAGGCAAGTTTGGGCGTGAATGTCCAAATTTAGGGGCAGATGAGGAGGAAGGGTTTGGCTGTGAATGTCTGAATTCAGGAGTAGTGGAATGGTCAGTGAAGGAGAGGCAGGTTTGGGTGTGAATGTCTGAATTTAGAAATAGTGGAATGGTCAGAGAGGCAGGTTTGGGTGTGAATGTCTGAATTTAGGAGCAGTGGAATGGTCAGTGAAGGAGAGGCAGGTTTGGGTGTGAATGTCCGAATTCAGGGGCAGATGAGGAGGAAGGGTTTGGCTGTGAATGTCTGAATTCAGGAGTAGTGGAATGGTCAGTGAAGGAGAGGCAGGTTTGGATGTGAATGTCTGAATTTAGAAATAGTGGAATGGTCAGAGAGGCAGGTTTGGGTGTGAATGTCTGAATTCAGGAGTAGTGGAGAGATCAGTGAATAAGAAGCAGGTTTGGGTGTGAATGTCCAAATTTAGGGGCAGTGTGATGGTCAGTGCCCACTGCCAGCAGCCAAGGGGAGCCCACACTTGAGCTGGCACATGCTGTGATGTTTGGGGTGTTCTGTGCACTCCAGGGGTTGGACTCTGATCCTTTGTGTCCCTTCCAACTCGGGATATTCCGGGTTTCCGTGAGTTCAAGTCAGTGCTGTCCCAGTGCTGCTGACGGCCCTTCCCTCCTCATCCTCCCACCTTCTTCTCCCTCAGGGGACTTTGTGATCCTGCTCAATGCTGGGATGACCATTCGCCAGGCACTTTTCTTCAACTTCATCTCTGCCTGCTGCTGCTACGTGGGCCTGGCCTTCGGCATCGTGGCCGGCAGCCACTTCTCTGCCAACTGGATCTTCGCTCTGGCTGGAGGGATGTTCCTGTACATAGCACTGGCTGACATGGTAAATCCTGAGCCCCCAATCCTGAGCCTGGAACCCTGGGCCCTGGGATTTTTTCCTAGGAAAAGCTCTGCTTGCTCTCAGCCTGCAGGCACGGCGGGGTTTGCTCTGTCCCCTTGGCACGTGCAGATATCTCTGCTCTGGCTGAAATCCCCGGGATGGGAGGCTGGTGGGTGCTTGCTGAGGAAGGACGGGGCTGTCACTGAGCCCTCCACCCCGATGTTTCCCCCTGCAGTTCCCTGAGATGAACGAGGTGAGCCGGGAGGATGAGCAGAACGGCAGCGCCCTGATCACCTTCGCCATCCAGAACGCGGGGCTGCTCACGGGCTTCACCATCATGGTGCTGCTCACCATGTACTCGGGGCAGATCCAGATAGGGTAGGACCAGCCCGAGCTGCAGCCCTGATCCAGTTTTTCCATGGGTTTTTTTTTGGGGGAGGGGAATGGTTTTTTCTTTTTTTTTTTTTGTTATTTTTCTTTCCTTTTCCTGCTGCAAACATACGACGGTACCTGTGCGGGCACTGACGTCACACTACAGGAGAGACGTTGCTTTGAAAGCTATTCCATGGATTTTCTTCTGGTTTAAGGCTGAGGGGAGTGGAATTCCCCTTCCCATAGGACTGACCTGACTTTGTCCAGTGTCACATCCCTTCTCTCCTCGCCTCTCCCAGGAAAGATGGAATGGGGAGACAGGAGCTGCTCCAGCCGTGGTGCTTGGAGCGTTCCCATGGCACATGAGGCTGTCCTGACCCCTCTGGGGGTGTGTGATGGGGACAGACAGGGACAGACCCTTCTCAGAGCGTTCCCCACAGCTGTGCTCTCTGAGGATGAGGAGGATGTCACCATCATCCAACTGCTTTCGCTCCGTTTCAGCCCGGACAACGCCCTGGCAAGAGTGGGGTGAAGAGGGCAGGGGTTTCAAAGCACATTTTGGGTGTCAGTGCTCAGAGCAGAGCACACCAAACTGGCTTGGAGTGACACTTGGGCTGCTGGGAGAAGCCTGCCAGGGTGCCCTGACCCTCCCTTCAGTCCATGCAGCTGGAATGAGGTGCAAAGCCCAGCTCCTCCTCCAGAAGGGGATGAGAGCAGAGCCCTGCCCGGCTGCAGGCTCCAGCCCAGGGATTTCTCCTCAGGCTGTGTCCAAGCTCATGGTGACACCCAGGAACAGCCACCAGTTTTTAAACAGTGCTAAGGTTCAGGGTGGGGTGGGGGGTGTTTTTAAAAGCAAACTCAGACTGTGAACCTCTTCAGGTTGTGTGTTCCCAGCCTTAGGGAGTAGCCAGAGAAGGGTGTTCCAGGCACCTCCCAGCTCTGCCTCTGGGCTGGCGTTCCAGATTCACTAGGTGAATTACTTATTATCATATTGATAAGGTTGTCCACCCCACCTGTGTTGCTTGAGGTTCCCTCACACCCCTTTTTCCCCCTCGTCCTGTACCTGGTGTAAGCTTGTGGCCGTGTGGATTCAGGGGAATCCCTCGTGGTTTGGTGCTGGATTGGGATGGAGGAGAGGTGCAGGTGGTTGTGAAGTGTCTTCCTTCTCTGCCCACCTGTGCAGGTGTGTGGGGTGTGACAGGTTGGTGGCACCGTGCTGGAGCTGAGGCTCCCACACCTCCCCTTTGCCCCGTGAGGAAAGCAAACCTGAGGCTGTGCCAGGTGTTATTCCTGCCCATCTCAGACAGAGGGCCCTGGCACAGGCTCAGCACCCCTGGCAGCGTTGTGCCCTGGCTGGATCTCTGTAATCCCTGAATTCCAGTAGTTCCCAGCTGGGTGATGTTGTTCCTAAGCTCCCAACAGCTGTCACCGAGCCCGTGCACTGTGGCACTGCCAGGATCCTCATGGATCATCACCTGCACTCGGTGGCTTTTCTAGTCTGGGCATTTATCCCCTCAGCACCCCTGGATTTTGGCTTTGTCCTGCACCCCAAAACCTAAATATCAATTCTGGAGGAGCAGGGAGCCTTTTTGGGATCACCTGAAGGTGTCACACAGTCCTCGGGTGATTCCCTCAAGGAGAGACAGGCTCTGCTTTGTCCCCTGTGGTGTCCCTTGTGGATTGTCCCCAAAAGTCACTTTTCCCACTGGAGCAGAGCAGCGTGGCCTGTGCTGCCTGGGGCAGCCATTCATCACCTGGCAGGCATTCCCTGTGCTGCAGGTTCCAGCACCTAAGGGCCATTGGAAACACTTTTTCCTTGCTTGAGAGAGCAGCAGCCCCAGCTGATTGAGTCGATGTGGAAAATCTGAGTCCTTTCCCTGGCACAGGTGCCCTCTGCTCTCTCTCAAGGAAGCACTTGGAAAACACCATAAACACCATGTGGCTGGCAGAGCTGCTGGAAAAGCCTCAGTGGGGGAGGACAAGGGGCAATGGGGGGTTTGTCCCCTCTGGACAGTGCCTGGGAGGTCCCCAAGAGCTGGGAGGTGGCACAGAGCAGGGCTTGGTGTCCTCAGAGCCGGCAGGATTCACTGTGGGGATCACACCTCTGCCATCTCCTCGGTTCCAGTTTATCCCTGTTTCCTGAGGAATCTGCAACCCGCAGATTTGGGATTGGGGTGAGAATTGGGGCTGCCCTGCCACTGAGGAGAAAGAACTCCTGTTCCCCCTGGGCAGGCAACCCAGGATTTGGGATTGGGGTGAGAATTAAGGCTGACCTGCCACCAAGGAGAGAGCTCCTGTTCCCCCTGGAAAGGCAACCCAAAGATTTGGGATTTGGGGGAGAATCAAGGCTGCCCTGCCACCAAGGAGAGAGCTGCTGTTCCCCCTGGGCAGGAAAACCAAAGATTTGGTATTGGGGTGAGAATCCCAGGATTTGGGATATGGGGGAGAATCAAGGCGGCCCTGCCACCAAGGAAGGAGAGCTCCTGTTCTCCCTGGGCAGGCACCCCAGAAATTTGGGATTATGGGGTGAGAATCAAGGCTGCCACCAAGGACAGAGCTGCTGTTCCCCCTGGGCAGGCAACCCAAAGATTTGGGATTTGGGGAAGAACCAAGGCTGCCCTGCCACCAAGGAAGGAGAGCTCCTGTTCTCCCAGGGCAGGCACCCCAGAAATTTGGGATTATGGGGTGAGAATTGAGGCTGCCACCAAGGAGAGAGAGCTCCTGTTCCCCCAGGGCAGGCTGGCACCTGCCAGTGGGAAAGGGATGGGAACCCACCCAAATTTAGCCCCTCGTGGATTTTCATCCGTGTCTCCTTCCTCTTGAGTTCCATCTCAGTATTTCAAATTATAACTCAGGTGTTGTAGGAGAGAAACAAAGAGCGTTAACTTAAATGTCACGTGAATTGTACAGATATTTGTAAAATTCCATAAATAAAATATATTCTGTAATGACGGAGGGTCCCAGGCGTGCTGGGCAGTGAAATCCTCTCGCTGCTGGGGTTGGAGGGGTGAAAAATGCCAGTCACTTGTTTTTAAAATTTTTAAAAGTTTAATAGTAATAAAATAGTTATAAAAATAGTAACACAATTAGAGTCATAACAATTTGGACGAATTGAATTAAGACAATATGAGACAATAAAAACAAAGAGTTATGGACGTCCGGGTACCTTTTCTGGGCAGCACAAGCCCGAAAAAGGACCCCTGCTAACAAAGGATTAACCCTTAAGAACAATAGCCCGTTGCATATTCATACACTTCATACATGATGCATAAATTCCATTCAAACACAGGATTCTGTCTGGTCTGGGAAGAAGTTTGTTTCTTCCGATAAGAAGGCCATAAATTCTTTTTCTCTGAAAGATCTAGGTGTCCTATGGCTGCTATCTCGCTGCAAGTCCTTTCTTTGAAGCAAAGCATCTTACATAGCACAGTTTCTATTTTAACAATTTTTATAACCTAAAACTATATTTACCACTGTACTTAAGAAAATTAATGCAGCATTGCTTTCTAAGACAACACATACTATATTCACTTTAATATTTGCGAAAAGCCAATCATAAAATACATGCATTTTTCACAGAGGGGTGGCAGCGCTGCTGGCTCAGGATTTTTCCAAGGGGAAGGTTTGGAGCAGGGCTGGGTGATGCAATCTCGCGTTTTCCAGCTGGATTTCCCTGGCTGTGCAGTGCGGCACGGCTGACAGAAGGTGGCACTGACAACCCCCAGCCTGCCCGCATGGCACGGCCTTTGCGGCTCCAAAAACCCTTCGTTATTTATATATATTCTTATTTTATTTTTTATTTTATTTTTCTGAAATATATTTCCAAACCATGGTTTAGCTGGGAGGTGTGGGATGCCCAGCTCACACTAGCCAGGCTCCTGGCAGTGTTTGTATCCTTGTTTTCCTACCCTCCATTAGCAAAAAAAAAAAACCAAACCAAACTTTGCCTTTCTACTTCTCCTTTTTTGCCTTTTTCTACACCATTTTCCCTCCATCTGCCAGCTCTGAGCAGCAAACTCAATTTTTAGAAAGCTTGTTGCAGCTAAAAAAACCAAATCTTGATATTCTGAGGCGTTTTATTAAAAAAAATTAATGTTTTATTAAGCAAGGAAGGTCACGATAAGCGTTGGACTTGCTCCTGCTCATCAGCACTTCCAGGGGGTCTTTGGGTGGGCTCTTTTCTGCTAAAAAATCCTTTTTTTTTTTTTTTTTTTTTTTTTTGCTGAATGCCTGGAAGCTGAATTACCTCAGAAAACGCTGCTGGATGGGGTCATGGAATTCCTGGAATGGTTTGGGTTGGTTAAAGCCCATCCAGTGCCACCCCTGCCATGACAGGAACAACTTTTACCATCCAAAGTTGTTCCAACCTGGGTTGGACGCTTCCAGGGATCCAGGGGCAGCCACAGCTTCTCTGGGAATTCCATCCCAGCCAGGAACTCCTTCCCAATATCCCATCTAAACCTGTCCTCCTTCATCTTCAGGTGGTAGACACAGACCATCGTGTCTATTTTGCCTTTCTCTCAGAAATTTTCTGTCTGGAGCCAGGCTGGGAGAGCTGGGGGTGTTCAGCTGGGGAAGGGAATGCTCCAGGAGAGCTCAGAGCCCCTTGCAGGGCCTGAAGGGGCTCCAGGAGAGCTGGAGAGGGACTGGGGACAAAGGATGGAGGGACAGGACACGGGGAACGGCTTCAAACTGGGAAAAGTGAGATTGGGGTGGGATTTTGGGAAGGAATGAGCGTGGGGAGGGGCTGGGATGGAATTCCAGAGGAGCTGTGGCTGCTCCATCCCTGGAAGTGCCCAAGGGAGAAGAGAAAGTTCCAGAGAGAGCTCAGAGCCCATTCCAGAACCTGAAGGGGCTCCAGGACAGCTGGAGAGGGGCTGGGGACAGGGATGGAGGGACAGGACACAGGGAATGGCTCCCACTGCCAGAGGGCAGGGATGGATGGGATTTTGGGAAGGAAAGTCCTTTCTTAAAGACTTTCAGGCACCTTTCTCCATGTCCAGTTTGTTTTTTTTCCCAAATGGAAGACATTGAAAAAGCGCATGGGAATTTTACACCCCTGAAATGTCAGTGTCCGCTTTGTGTGGGAACCTCCTGGATGTGTTTCAGTAGGAAACTTGGGACTCCCACTGCTAGAGGGCAGGGATGGATGGGATACTGGGGAGGAATTCTTGGCTGTGAGGATGGGATAAAATCTCCAGAGAAGCTGGGGCTGCCCCTGGATCCCTGGAAGTGTCCAAGACCACCCTGGGATAGTGTAAGCTGTCCCTGCCCACAGCAGGGGCGGCACTGGCTGATCCTCACAGTCCCTCCCAGCGAAGGGAGCCTGGTTTAGGGGATATTCCCCAGCAAAGCTGTGCCCGAGGGCAGTGCCAAGCACCCTCAGCGCCGCCGCCATGTTGCCCCCCCGTTGCTTAGCAACGCCCCCTTCCCCTCCAAGATGGCGGGCGGGGCGGGGCGGGCGTGGCGCAGGCGCGGGCGTGGGGGGGGGGGGCCAGAGGGCGGAGGGCGGTGTGGTGGCGGCGGCGGGGGCGGGACGGGGGGAGCGCAGCGCCGCGGAGCCGCCGCTGCCGGGGCAGCCCAGCGGGTCCGCCGGGAGCACCCGCGCGGCCCCCGCTCCGGGTGACGGGAGCGGAGCGGGGCACGGCGGGCAGCGGTGCCGCCGCCGCCACCGCCACCATGTCCGGGCGCGGCCACAACAAGCTGCCGACCACCGAGCGCATCGTCAAGGGTGAGGGGGCGGCGAGGGCGCCCCCTGCCTGCGCGGGGGGCGCGGGGGGGGGCTCGGCGGAGGGGGGCCGCGAGAAACGGGGGGCGAGCGAGGTTTGGGGGGGTCCCCAAGCTGGGGGAGCCCCTAGAAAGGGGAGGGGAATCTGCCTGCTTTATGGGGGGGCTCATGGTTTGGAGAAGGCCGGAAAAAAGGGGGGGTTGAAGAGTGATTTTAGGGGAGGGAGCGTGGTTAAAGGGGGGCTTCTCCAAAGTGGGGGAGCCCGGAGAAAGGAGGGCGGTTCATTTTGGGGGTCCCCAGGTTGGAGGAGCCCGGAGAAAGGAGAGGGAGGGAGCGTGATATGGGAGGAGGGGGAGCCTGGTTTAGGGGGATATTCCCCAGAAATATGGGGGTATGCCTGGTTTGGGGGGGTCCCCAGCTTAGCGGAGCCCTCCCCGGCTGGGGAAACCCGGAGAAAGGGAGGGGGATGCCTGGTTTGGCTGAGGGGAACCTTTGATGGAGGGGGAGCTGGTTTGGGTGAGGGGAACCTTTAATGGAGGGAGAGCCTGGTTTGGGTGAGGGGAGCCTTTAATGGAGGGAGAGCCTGGTTTGAGGGGGGGTCCCCAGGGTGGGGGAGAACCGAGGAAGGGCGAGGGCAGGGTGATTTTGGGGGGTATTGTGGAAGGGCACCCCCGTTAAAGGAGGGCTTTGGGGGCTGGGGATGCCTGGAGCAGTGAGGAGGGGGTGTTCTGATGGGTGACCCCCCCATTGGGGATGACTCTGGTTTGGGGGGGATCATCCTCTGAGTGGGGGGAGGCTGGAAAATCAGGGGGAGAGCGTGGTTTGGGGGGTCGTCCCCAAGAGAGAGGGGAGGGGAAGGCCTGGAGCAGCCCCCATAAAGGGGAGCCCTGATGGGGGTTCGGGCTGGGGGGACACCCCCTGTTCAGGCAGAAACCTCTGCAGAGGAGCTGGGGGGCATCTCTGGTTTGTGGGGGGCACCTGCACTGAGGGGTGAGGGGGGGCATTTTCAGCCCTCCGTTGACCAAGAGGATGCAGCCCCCTCCCTCCATTCTGTGGCAAGGGGGCACAGCAGTGCCAAGGAGGGGGGGTGACAGCAGGGGACATCCCTTTTGTGGCATGGGGGGAATCCCCATCCTGGCCTGGGCCTCATCACCACCCCCCCCCCAAGATTGGGGTGCTGTGGGTGGAACTGGGGTTCCCCTGAGGATTTGGGGGAGCAGAGCCCTCCCTGCCCTGATCCAGGCCAGCCCCCCGTGCCTTTCCTCCCCCAAATCGCTGCTCCGCGTCTGGATGCCCTGCGGCCGGTGCCAGCTGGCCCCCTCCGCGGCCCCGTTATAGTAGGTACTATTTTGGAAAGAGCAGAAGACACCGAAGCAGTTAATGAGGAGAGAAATACGTTAGCGGAGAAACTCCTGGATCGGGAGGAGGAGGAGGAGGCTGGGGGGGGGATGCACATTTCGCTGCCCTAATTGATCCGGTGCCATCCTCGTCCCCATGCACCAGGAACATCCACTGGGTGCCTCAACTTTGGCCGGGAGGCTCCAAGTTACACAATCACCCCGTTATTAAACCTCCTCCTGCCATGGCTTCCATCATTCCGGGCCGCTGGAAAGCAGCAGATTTCCCAGCAATGCTTGTAATCCCCGGCCATGGAGCTGTACCCACCACGCTGCCATCCCTCCCTTCCCCTCTGCATGTGTGTCCAAGCCGTTTTTTATTTATTTCTTCATTTATATATTTATTTTTTTTTTTCCTTTTTAGCCTTTAGCCTGTCATGTGGCCGATCACATGTTTGATGTTAATAACCTCAAACCCAGGGGAAAGGGGATCCGGAGCGTGGAGGCCCCTCAGGCTCGGGGAAGCTCCAGGGTGGGAGGGGTTTTGTTTTTAAATGGGAATAATCCCAAAGCGCTCCCAGATTTGGGGGGGATCCGGGGTGTTCCCTGCGCCCTGCATGTGCTGTGGTGATTTGTAGGTCTCCAGGCAGCCTGAGTGGCCGGTGCTGTCTGTAAATCTCCTGCTAAATCCCAGGCAGCTGCCTGTGTTTAGGTTGGCCTTGTTCGGGAAAGGTAATGGCAATGCAGCCATTATGATTCAGCTGAGTCGGCCGGATCCAGGCGTTCTCCCTTTTCCTGGAGCTTCCAGATCCTGGGAATCCCTCTCAGAGATCCTGCTGGTCCCTCTCAGTGCTTTGGCAACCCCACAAAAATCCTGCTCATTGCTGCCATTAATCCCTATCCAGGTAGGGTGGAGGCTCAGGGCCTGCTCGCCCCAAAATCACCCCAAAATCGCCCCAAAATCCTCCCAAAATTGCTTCTTGTTGCCTCAGTGCCTGTGGAAATTTGGGGAGAAATACCTCCTTCTCAAGCCAGGGTTATTGTTGAAAGGTGGTGACATTGTTCGTGGTTATTAATAATTAAAAAGTGAAGGTAAAAGCTCATTTTGTTCCGTGGAAAATGCCTGCAATTAAGTAGGATGTGGAATTTTAACTATGTTTAACCTATATATTTACATCTCCTGGGCCCTGCAGAACAGCTGAACTGTAATTACCTTTAGTCAGAGGAAATAGAGTTTTGGGCTAAAATTTGTGCTAGGGGAGCTTCATTATTAAAATCACAAATTTTGGGGTGTGTCAAGAATGGATTTTTATAAAAATCTTGAATTTTGGGGTAGGCCATCAATTGCTTTTTATAAAATCTCCCATTTTTGTGTGCTTCAGGAAACTTTTTTTTATTAAAATCTTGGCTTTTGGGGTAGGTCAGGAACAGCTTTTTAAACCTCTCATTTTGGGGTTTGTCAGGAGTTCCTTTTTATTAATATCTCAAATTTTGAGGCAAGAATTGCTCTTTGTAGCACAGTTTTAGCAGGAAGCTGATGGTGATGGAGAATAATGTCCAAATTTTGATCTCTAAATATCACTTGGGAAGATTCTGCTGGAAATCTGAAGGATTAGGAAGTCTGGTTGTCTGAATTATCCCAAAATTGGGCTTGAATTACCTGGTGGATCCATGGGATTGATGAATCCACATCCTACAAAATTCACATTATTCAGACAGATGGGAATGGTTCTGCTGCAATCCTGGAGCTCAGGGTGATTAAAAGAAACCTGCAGAGCTTTTTTGGTCATATTTGGTTGAATTTTGTGGTCATATTTGGTTGAATTTTGTGGTCATATTTTGAATTTTGTGTTCATATTTGGTTGAATTTTGTGATCATATTTGGTTGAATTTTGTGGTCATTTTTTGGTTGAATTTAATGCACCTGCTCCATTCTTCCTGCCAGAAAGTGTAAAATCCTCTGGGAAGCAGAGCTGTGTCCAGTTGCATCCATGCCAAATCCTTTCAAAACCTCAGATATTGCTATTTACACACCAGAGCAAATAATCCACTGGGGTTTTCCTCTATCTATGTGTTATTATTATTATTTTGTGTATCATGGACAAAATGTTGGGCTGGGAGCAGCTGGGATCCAGTGTTCTCTGTTCAGAGACATCCCTAATTCCTGGCTGGGATTCCTGAAGTGCTTTCCTGCTTTTCTGAGGCATTTTAATTGAGGAAAATCTGAAATTTAAAGGAAATCCCAGGAATTGTTGGGTAAAGCTGGGGCTGGTGCTGTTTCCAAAGATATCCTGGAATTGGGTGGATTTTCCCAATTTGTGCTTTGCTGTTATTTCTTAAGGACTTTCAGGCACCTTTCTCCATGTCCAATGTGTTTTATTCCCAAATGGAAGACACTGAAAGTGTGTGTGGGAATTTTAAACTGAAATTTCAGTGTCCACTTGGTGTGGGATGTGTTTCAGCAGGGAGAGGGATTTGGGACAAGGAGTGGATGATAAATGGGATATTGGGAATGGAATTCCTGGCTGGGATTCCTGAAGCGTTTTCTGCTTTTCTGAGGGCGTAAATCCCAGGAATTGTGGTGTAAAGCTGGGGCTGTAACCAAAGGTATCCTGGAATTGGGTGGATTTTCCCAATTTGTGCTTTGCTCTTCTTTCTTAAAGATTTTCAGGCACCTTTCTCCATGTCCAATCTGTTTTTTTCCCAAATGGAAGACACTAAAAGTGTGTGTGGGAATTTTAAAGCCCTGAAATTTCAGTGTCCACTTGGTGTGGGATGTGTTTCAGCAGGGAGAGGAATTTGGGACAAGGAGTGGATGATAAATGGGATATTGGGAATGGAATTCCTGGCTGGGATTCCTGAAGTGTTTTCTGCTTTTTTGAGGGGGTAAATCCCAGGAATTGTGGTGTAAAGCTGGGGCTGGTGCTGTTTCCAAAGATATCCTGGAATTGGGTGGATTTTCCCAATTTGTGCTTTGTTGTCCTTTCTTAATAACTTTCAGGCACCTTTCTCCATGTCCAATGTGGTTTTTTTCCCAAATTGAAGACACTGAAAGTGTGTGTGGGAATTTTAAACCCCTGAAATTTCAGTGTCCACTTGGTGTGGGATGTGTTTCAGCAGGGAGTGGATGATAAATGGGATATTGGGAATGGAATTCCTGGCTGGGATGGAATTCCCAGAGGAGCTGTGGCTGCCCCTGGATCCCTGAAGCACCCTGGGACCATGAGAGGTGTGGGATGAGGTGGGATAAGGGCTGGAATGAGGTGGGATAAGGGCTGGAATGAGGTGGGATAAGGGCTGGAATGAGGTGATTTCAAGTCCCCTTATCCCCCAGCCCATTCCATAATCCACAATTCCCTGCTGTCACTGACCCGTTTCACACCCAGCCAAGGTTTTTTGGGAATATCCCAGAGCCTCAGTGACACCTCCACCCTGAGCCCAGCTGGAATCACATCCAAGGAGCCTCTCCCTCCTCTCTGCAGCTGCAGGCACAGAGAAAATCCCACAGGAATTGTTCCACACAGCCTCTGTTCCACCACCCAGCCTCAGCTCCATCCCTGCCTCCTCAGAGAGTTCAGAGGCTCTTCCAGTTCATCTCACAATGAAAGTGTGTGTGGGAATTTTAAACTTCTGAAATTTCAGTGTCCACTTGGTGTGGGATGTGTT